ATTATCGTTAGCAAGTCTGTTCTTCAAAAATCGTAAATCGGTAGTAATTCGTGCTAGATTTGAGTGGAATATAGATGGTGCTTTGAAAACGAAATTTTGCGTTGCAAAATCTTGTGGAAGATTTACATGGATTTGAGATACATGGGCATATCCTGTTGGATCAATAGTGGTTTGTTCCATCATTATAATTACCGAAAGGAAGATGCCCACAATTCGCTTCGGGACTGGAAGTGGTAAGGTCTCTAGCCCCAGGATTTGCAAAATAAATTGATTTTCCGATGCGAATTGGGTGTAAGGTAACAGATACCATTAACGTTATGATTAAAATAGACTTCGTCAACGACGACTGGTTTACACTTCAAAATCATGAGAACATCTCCAGCAGGTATTGCATATATATCGTTTCTGTTTAGCAAAATGCGAGCTGCACTGGTGGTTTTTATTTTAGCAATGCTTCGTATCGCTTAAATTTTGAAATGTGATAGAGTACAAATGCGGTCGAAAAGAGTGTTGTAATCATGTTTGAGAATTTCTTCCAATTTTATCTTGAAAAATTGCATTTTTGTGTTCAATTCGTAATGGCGCTGGTCTTGTCGTTGCTCGTAAGAAAGGGAAAGATCATTATTGAGCGTACTGAAATCAGGCTCAGTGTTAGTAGCTATGTGTTTGGCTATGGCAGATGTGCCATTCCGCATAAATTTACTCAAAACTTGTTGTTCATCTCGAAATAGAATAAATATGAGCTAGCTGTTTTTGATTGTACTTGTTTGAAAGGTTCTTTTGGATCCTACGGAGCATTGAAAATTCGGTTTCCTTGTAGCAAGTTTGTCAAGAATGGAGTACAATGATTCAAGTCTTTTAATACGTTGATCTTCAAATGAATCTTCACTGGATGGTGTGGAAGTTATGAGATTATTCCTACTCTGATAAACGGCATTAAATAAATGAAGCATTTTTGAATTAACAATGTGTTTTTGGCTGATATCTTTAATCATTTGCGGGAATTTGGTGAACATAGTACGTGGATTATGGTTTGGAATTTCTGGAAGTACAATGAAAACACCATTATCCATTGGTACAGAACTGTTGGGCAAACACCAACTTGAAATTTGAGTAGAAGTTAACGTTATATTACTGTATGTGAAAGCAGTTTGTATGTTATCAATAACTATATGAGTTGGAGTAACATAAGCAATTCCTTGTGTCGCTTTTACATACTTACAAGCAAAAGGATCTTGTTCTTTGAAATCCCAAATTACTGTGCCATGCGACATCTTACATTGTTTATCTTCAATGCGACATTGAGCCTTATCATCAAATTGACTGATGATTGTTTTGCCGTCAAAATTAGCAATATCAGCTTGTTCTATGTATTTTTTGTGAGCGTACATTTTTCACCAAAAAACCAAGGATACGAGTAATGTATGGCGTTTTTCGAGCCGTAAACATTATTTGATAGCTTTTGCATAGGTATGCCCAAAAATTCTTTGTTTCGCTAAGGGACTCACACAGTGCAAAATCTACAGGAGACATGTACTCGTCGTCACTGTTTACAGAAAAAGATATGTGAAAATAAGACGACGCACATATTTTCCTAGTCTTATTAAAGCAATGGAATGCAGGTAGAAGATAAGGTCCAGTGCGTTCTACATATATTTGCGCTGTAGTTACCAAAATGTTTGTAGAATTTGTTGAGTGTGAGCACGATGTTGTTTCTGGATACGCGACAGGCCAACCAGATTTTCCCGCAGAGCAAAGTTGATAAGTTTGGAATAAAAGTGGAGAAATATTAGGTAAAAACAATGAAAATAGTGCTACAACAAAAAGTGAGTATGGACTATTAAGTAGTCAAGTGGAAAGGTTTGCTGAGACTGAATTTACCGGCCTTTGGCGTTGATTACGATTTTGGTTACGATTATTTTGTCTATTATTCGAAAAGTGAGGTGACTGTCCTCTTGGCCTGTTATTGGAAAAATTTGGAAGTGTTCTAGATCTCGACTATTGACGTCGATACGGCGATTGTTGGCGGTGATTTGGTGATTGTCTGTGATGGTATGGAAATCTACTGCGCTCTATCAAAACGGTCTGATGGAAGTGGCGCAAATCTAACATTGCGTCTTTGCGGATACGGAGAATTTCCAAAAAATGAATTTGAAGAACGAGGGCGCTCATAACTGCTAGATGTTGACGTGTAAGGATTTTGCGAGTATGAATGGTTGTTCAGACCGTGAATACGTTCGGACTCTTCAATAAGTTTTTCATGGTCAGTTGGAAGTGGACCCAGTAATTTGAGTTTTTGTTTGATTTGGTATTGGAAACCATTCTTGAAATGTGCCGTTAGTAAAAATTTGCGATTGGCGGCATCGCTATCGCTTGTATATGCTTCAAGAATTTGTTGTCTAGGTCTATTAGAAAAAGTGTGGGAGATTCTCCTGGAGTCATTCGCATAGCCATCAATTTTTCGCAAGCAGAATCCAAAAAATGGTCTGTTGAAAAATGGCTTTTGAGTTGTGAATGATTGTTGCCCAGCTATTTTTGTCTACTGGCGCCATGTTGTCGTAAACAGCTTTCGCTACACCTTTCAAATGTGCTGGGAGTAAGCAAACCAATTTATTGCTTGTTAAGAATTATCGAAGAAATTTCTTCAAATTGCGTGATAAACTGCATAAGTCCTCTAGGTCCTTGGTCTCCAGAAGAAAGTTGGTAATTTGCTACTATACGAGGAGAGAGTTAGTTATCAAAAATCGTATCTAAATCTATGAAGGTTACTGCTTCGGAATGTTGATTTTGAGGCATTGGAGTATGATCCATATTTTGCGTCACGGTCTGATTTGAGCAAACACTTACAGATGGCGAAACGTGTGAAAGATTGTTAGCATTTTGCTGTGGTGGCAAATTGTTGAGATACTATTGGCGAAAGAAATTGTTGTTGAATGAAATTTGAGGATTGTTGTTGAGAGGTTAGTGTTTGATCTTGCTCTTGGGTTATAGGAATGAAAAATTTCTCTTTTTGAGATACAAAAACCTGAGGTTGATTTTGAGTTACGGGGATCAAAAGTTAAGCGGGCTCTTGAGTTGCAAGAATTGGAGTTTCCTCCTGGGTTACCAAAGCTTGCGAAAGTTCTATGGGAGGAGTAGAGACTCGAGAGTTCCCTGCTTTTGGTGATGAACGAAGAGATGAAGAAACAGGGCTCGGCACGAGGTGGCTAGATGAAAATGGAAAAAACGAAGTCCCCCTTGACTTTTGGGAATTTTTACGAAGTCCCCTTTGACCCTGAACCAAATTTCTTCTAAAAACCTGAAAAATTCCCGAAAATCCCCCAAAAAACGAAACGTCGACTAAAAAAAAGGTCGCCGTCGTCAATTTTCCGTATATCTTCGCTCACAAAAACGAAACCCCCTTTGCTTTTCGTCCCAAAAACGATATCCAGCTTGCTTGTAAGCCACCTGTGCCGAGCCCTGTGAAGAAAGGAAACTATCGATGAAGCTTCCGTAGGAGCTACTGAAGAGACTTCAGTAGGGAAAGAAGTTACGCGACGTTTGACAGGACTACTTGATTTATACGCACTACACCTTACTCTATGAATTTTATGCAATATACGAGAATGAGATCTTGGTCTTCTTTTGATAGTCCCACGCTCGGATGTATTGCAAGGTTTTGGAGACGCACAAGAACTAAGTTTAGTATCAGAACTGTTCATGTAACAGCAACACTTTTAATGACAATGTTTTCCAAGGAAAAAAATTTTTTTTCGACAAAAATTTTTTTTTTCGAAGCTCAATCGACTGAACGTGAAGGCAACCGCAAATTCGTCGGGTATCCGACAAATGAGAACCACTATCGACATGAATGGAAGTAATGAAAAAAGGATTGTTTGCGAAATGATTTTTTCAAAGTACAGATATTTCCGTACTAAAGTTTTTTTTGAAATTAGGGCAACCGAGCGGATGGTTAGACGTGAATTTTATGCTATACTTGTCTTACTATATATTGTATAAGTGCATGGGATCGCACCTGTATCCTAATCGTTGCTTCACAGGTTGCGGTTGAGATAGGCTAATTCCAATGGAGAGGCCTGATGGTGGAGCGGTGAGCCAGATAGTATTGTTTGTTGGAGAGATTAGTCGGCTGGTTGCAGGCTAACGACGGCGGCGGGCGATGAGATACAGTAAGTGTACTGTAAGAGACTTGAAGCTCAGGAAGCTCTGGTCTGTGTCTAGTGTCCACACCAATCGGTCGTCTCCAAGCTTCTTCTCTAGCTTCCTCCAAAGCTTCCTGAGCTTCAAGTCTCCTACAGTACACTTACTGTATTATCTCATAGCCGCCGTCGTTAGCCTGCAACCAGCCAACTAATCTCTCCAACAAACAACACTATCTCGCTCACCGCTCAACCATCAGGCCTCTCCATTGAACTAGCCTATCTCAACCGCAACCTGTGAAGCAACGATTAGGATACAGGTGCGATCCCATGCACTTATACAATATATAGTAAGACAAGTATAGCATAAAATTCACGTCTAACCATCCGCTCGGTTGCCCTATTTCAAAAAAAACTTTAGTACGGAAATATCTGTACTTTGAAAAATTGTTTCGCAAACAATCCTTTTTTCATTACTTCCATTACCAATGTATGGAATGATCCAAGAATAGCGTTCGAAGGCAGGTCGACTTATATTACAATAAATGGGCGGAGCTAGGATTAAGGGCCGAATTTGGAGGGGGAGGGGTGAAAAGTGTAATAATTGCGATATCCTATATTTTGCTATTGTGAATATATTTTTTTAGTTATTTGGATAGTCATATAAAGATATATGAACGTCGTTGCGCAATCTTGGGCGTGCGCATAAGATTAGGAAAGTTTCGGCAATTCGCTTATTAGCACTGCTCAGGCAGTGCTCGCTCCTTAATTGCTCCATAATTTTGCTTCATTATTTCCTCAATTGCAAAGAAGTTAAAGTTAGCTCTTACAGTAAATACAAACAAACTTCCCGCTCATATCATGTCAAGCTACGCTGATGGACCAGAAAGTACTGATTCTGAATTTAATGATGTAAGTTTTGCTTTCCTTTTATTATGCTATAAGACTGTAAGGAACATTTCGATCGTTTTCCCAGGTGTTTGATGCATATTTTGATGACTCGACAAGAAATTCGGAACTACTGAAAAAGATTGATGACTTGGAGACGAAACTAGGACGTCAGATGGTCGAGAACAGAGAGTTGAGAGTGGCTTTGGGTATGCAGCAAAACTGCTCCGACCGGCTGCACGAACAACTCCGGGTTCAGCAGACGCAGCACGAAAACGCTAAGGCACACCATGAAGCGGTGCTGGCGCGTTACGATAGGAGAGTCGACGCACAGGAAGCGTCAATTGCGAAGAAAACTGATGTGAGTATTACTTTTTTTACTACATATTTGATGTTAAAAATTCCTCAAGTGTGTGTATAAACTTATCTTCAGGAAGTGGAAAGATTGGTGCTGGATCTTTATAAAGTCAGACGCAATCTTCTAATCAAACGAGGCTATAATGAGCAGTCACATAATGTTGTTCTTCATGATATGGTAGAAGAGGTCATGATGGCAAGCCTCTCTAGGAAAAGCGTTACTAGCTCGTACATTGATGTTCAAGGAGATTTGCGAGCTACTCGCACTTTGCTATTGTCCGATGACTCGCATATAAGCGGTAAGTTTGGTCTAGTAATCATTAGGATGTGTAAGGTAGTTACGATTCTTTCAGGTGTTATGAGGACATCGGATGGCAGACCCTTCAGTTCCATTCGAGACTGCGAGGACAATGTATGGAAGGGCGATTATGAGGGCTTTTCCATTGGATTTGGTCATCTAACGATGACCAACACTTGCGGAAGATTTCTATTACTGGCTCGGTTCTCGGCCATGCTGAAAAGGAGTCTAGATAGGACTTGAAGTGTTCGTTTCATCAACTTTGATGAAACGGAGAGGATCACAACGATAATGCAAGAAGGTCGGAGGGTAGTTATGCCAACTTAATTGCGCTGCCAAACCAGCGATGTTATGTATGTTTGCTTCTATGTGTTCATGAATCAACTTGTCATGTTTTGTTGTCGACAGCAGGGAGTAAAATTACGATAATATAAGTTACGTAAGACAGACTCTATCGGGTTAGATTATGCCCAACTGTTGCTGTTAGTCGCGCGTCTCAATTGTAAAGGATTAGGTTACGCAATCAATAATCCTGTTCTAAGGTTTATCGCGACACAGAGCAGACGCGAGTATTGTGCTAATCGCGGCTGTAAGGTCATAGCGGGCAGATATCAATAATCTGTCGCGAGGTCACATGCTTACAACATTACAACATATGAGGGCCGCTGCGTTGCTTTATCGCCAAAAGGGGGCCACCGCGCGGACAGAAGCACTGGGTTTTGCTACATTTCCTGAGAGGTCGAAGCATTACGATTGGTCGACACTTCCCAGCAGAAGTTATCCGAAGTGGGCCAGCAGATTTATCTTTTTGGGTCTAATATTGCAGTTTTTTATTCTAAGCTAGCGATTGCGAACAAGTCCATTGTCTCATTATGAGAAAAAAAGAGAAAAGTAAGAAAGTTGACAGAAATTCACGAAATCACGGTTTCACGGCAACAGGGATCACGGCTGCTAAATGCGCTTTCAAATTCACGGATTCACGGATCCACGGAATCGCGGATCGCGGGAAATGCGAGCGTTTTACGATAGAAAGATTTGACAAAATGGGACTGTTCGCAGGACTGTATGATCAAATTTATTTTATTTTATTCAATAATTTTTATTCTTTCTGAAAAGTTTTATTTATTTATTTATTTATTTATTTATCAAGTACATCGTAAACGATGCACCACCTCACGAATGAAATACAGACAGACAAATAAGTATGGAACGAGGGTGGGAGAAAAAGGCAAGAATGACTTGAATTTGCTCTCACTTTCGAGTCGTATCCGAATAACAAATCTTATAGAGTTCTTATATAAGTTCGGGAAGAGCAAAGCTCATGGACGGCTGATAAGGCCACGAATGACGTTGTTGTAAGTGTAACTTCTGGGAAAAGTATGTATTGATGGTGTTTTGTAGGTAAGTAATGTAGAGTAATTTGGATGGCAATGGTGTTATGAATCAGGTCTCAAAAAATATGAATGGATTTCTTGCACATTATCAGGAGCTTCGAACACATGCATAGCGACCAGCATAAGTAGTATATATTGCGCTCAAAATAACGAAGTGTTATGGAGTATTACTTGTAGCAGGTCATTTTCAAGTACATGATGCACCCGTCCATCCATCTATCCATCCATTGAATCGTGCATTCCATCCATCCATCCATCCATATGCATGCATACATACATACATACATACACGTGTCAGTTGGTTCGTTTACTAACTCCATATTTGAGCAACGAAATGCTGATTGATGTGCGAGTTCAAAGTTTCCAATAATGTGCATTGAGTTGTCTAGATAAAGTACATAAAAATCGATTAGCAGGGTTTTCTAATACAATCGTGAGTAAGTAGTAGTTTCCTTGTTATCGGTATATTGGAAGATTTTCTTGAACTGTACAATTGAGAGGCACTCAGAATCGACGAGAAAGGAAAAAGGATACGATACGAAAGTAGATGCGAATAAAGAACTATCACTTGCATTTCGTCTCCCAAAACATGCTTTGAAAAATGCAGCAGTAAAGGAAGGTAATCATAGGGAGACGAAAATTCAACAGAGAAGTTAAATACAATCTGAACTAAATTTGTCAAGGTAATTATGTTCGATCAGGAATTTCCTTAATTTATGTGGATCCAAGGCTCTTAGTTCTATAGGAAGTTTATTCAGTATGTGACACATGCGGGCACCAAATGAATTCTGTAGGCTACGTTTTCGCCATCCTTTGAAATTATGTGTGTAGACGTTAATTCTGAAACGACGGATACTAGTGGGACGTAAAATACAGAAGTCCGAAAATCTCAAACGTGTTTCAGACTAATATCTTGTATGATAGCAATATGTCAGCTAATAACCTCCTGTGATATAAGCTTTTGAGTCCTAGCATGGTTAGTCTAGTTTTATAATCAGGAAGAGCCTGTGGATAATCAGGATTTGGGAATATTCGGTAGAATAAGATTCTAGTAAATGTGCGTTGAACTTTTTCCAATTTTTCGATCACTTTTTTGACATCAGGATTCCAAACTGGACTGCAATATTCCAAAGCAGGAAGTACGTAAGCTTCCCAGAGTTTCAGCCAGATGTTGATATTATGTACATGTACGTTTCTTAGTAAGGTGTACATTGTGCGTTTGGCCTTGCAAACAACATTATCAATGTGTAAAGAATATTTGAAAGAGGAATCAACAACTACTCCGAGGTCCCTAACATTTTGCTGAACTTGTAAGGAAATTCAATAATCGAACATAGTCGAATCTGCGCCTAATTTCAGTATCTGACTTTTGGATGAATTAACTTTGATTCCCCATTCTTTAGCCCATTGCAGCATTTGATGAACAGACAATTTCAACTTTTCGCGTATTACTAGACTATTATTGTTATCGTAACTACCATAGATTTTAATGTCAACAGCGTAAGCTGCTACACTAATACGATAATCAATTCTCAATACATTTGGTAGTTCCATGGTAAAGATGTTAAATAACAGTGGGGATAGAGCACTTTCTTGAGGAACACCTGACGTACAGGGCTTTGCTGCAGACTTTTAATTTCGAAAAAGAACTTCAAAGGTCCGTTCAGATAGGTATGATCAAACCAATTTAAAAGATTGGTTCTAATGCCTATGCTCTCAAGTTTCATGAAAAGCCCAGTATGATTGACAGAATCGAATGCTTTACTTGACTCGAAATAAATGATATCAACTGATTTGCCTTCACTAAGTGCCATAATCCAATCTTGGCAACATTTTACCAGTTGTGTAGATGTAGAGGAGCCGGGTATAAATCCACGTTGTTCATTGGGTAAAAAGTGGTTTTCTAAGCACCATTTTAGGATAGATTTTGCCAGGATTTTTTCCATGATCTTACAGGGCGTAGGCAAAATGCTAATTGGCCTGAACTCGGAAACCTTTTTTGCACATGCACACTTAGGTATGGGACATGGCACAACCGTAACTCTTTTCCAGATTCTTGGGACATTTCCAGTCATCAAAGAAATGTTAAAGATATGCGTTAGAGGCAAGGAAAGGCTTTTAGCGCATTTCTTGTACAGTGCTGGCCAAAACTATAGATCCACTATAAAAAAATGTCGTAGTTCACCTGCTTCTCAACGAATTGATCTGAGATTTGGTACAGTTGTGTGTTCAACAGGCTTTCATCAGTGACCGGAGCGGATTCCGTTTTCGCCAGATTATTCAAGAAAAAAATCAAAAATTTCGAAAAAAGCAGGCTCGAAGGCTGGCCAAAACTATAGATCCACCTAAAATTTCTGTCTGCTAACATGATTCTTAGCTTCCAAAATCTTTTGTGCATATACATAGTCGAAAGTCAAAGCAGTGGCTTTAGTTCAGCTGCGTCATACCTTTATAAGAAACGCTTATCTGCTTTTTTCCTCTTAAAAACTGCTTTCATGCGTATTTTGTTCCCGAGAATGTGTTTTTGTAGAGGATTCCGCACTTTTTTGACTGGTTTGAAAGTGATAGGGCTCCATCTATCTTATAGATGCTTAGTAGCGTGGGCAGCAGAAAAAAATTCGGGTTTTCGTATCTAAAGCGCACCTGACATAGACCTAACCGCAAACCTGCGTTCAAATTTATGCCTTCAAGCTCTTTCTGCAACGTTGTCATGAGCGTGAACTGGAGTAGTTACATTGTTGGTATGTATGAGAGTCCGTATGCAGTGGTTGCAGGTTTCTGTAGATCCTAGTATGCAGGCTAATTGAGAACTTCATCCCTCAAAAAGTGATTTGCAACAAGCCTTGAAGTTATTTCTGCTTCTGACCATAATGCTCATGTGAATCACAAGGCAACATATATTGCAGGGTGTATTCAATAGTTAGCAGCTAAAAAGTGGCAAAATTCAAAGAAGGTACCAGTTGGTAAGTACTTTGAGATTGCCGAACACACCGCAAGACTTGTGCTTTGAAAAAGAATTAAAGTGCGACTTCGCAAGCAATCGTAACTATAGTTTACAAACTTCTTTTTAGGTAAATAATGCTAAATAATGCTTCTACATTATTTTGAGCTTATAAAAATAGCGGATACCAATTTTGAAGGCAAAAATTCGAGCGCAGGCCTACGGTTATGTCCGTGTCAGGTGCGCTTTGGATACGAAAAACCGAATTTTTTTCTACTGCTCACGCTGCTAAGCATCTATAAGATAGATGGAGCCCTATCACTTTCAAACCAGTCAAAAAAGTGCGGAATCCTCTACAAAAACACATTCTCGGGAACAAAATACGCATGAGAGCAGTTTTTGAGTGGAAAAAAGCAGATAAGCGTTTCTTATAGAGGTATGACGCAGCTGAACTAAACCCACTGCTTTGACTTTCGACTAGGTTTATGCACAAAAGATTTTGGAAGCTAAGAATTACGTTAGCAGGCAGAAATGTTAGGTGGATCTATAGTTTTGGCCAACTTTCGAGCCTGCTTTTTTCGAAATTTTTAATTTTTTTCCTGAATAATCTACCGAAAGCGGAATCCACTCCGGTCACTGATGAATGCCTGTTGAACACACAACTGTACCAAATCTCAGATCAATTCGTTGAGAAGCAGATGAACTACGGCAGTTTTTTATAGTGGATCTATAGTTTTGGCCAGCACTGTAGAAGAAACCAGGTATGTCTTTGGAAGTGTATGACATTGAGGGTTTGATCGCTTTTAAAAGTTTGTATACTTCAGCGTGAGAGAAAACTGGGTTGGTTAACACATTACCGGTTAAAGAGTCGATCTGGGAAATGTTCAGACAAGTGCTAATATAAGCAC